TGCAAAAGCAGATGAACACAAGCAAGGTGGGATCTGAAGAATCCAATCACCAAGCTAGCAGTAAGTCCTCCTTGCCTTATGCCTGGGAGGTTGGCTGATCCATTGTGAACAAATCCTTGCTGCCCAATTCAAGAAATAAAACTGTTTTCTTAATATATTTTATAAAAGCAGGTGATAAAATGTAGCCTATCTTTGTGAAGCAGACTTGGGATATTACCTATATAACTGCTTGCCCACACAGAACTTACCTACTTTTTATTCCCATGCTATTCCACTAAGCTTTAAACAAATCTGAAATATGCTTAGTTTTAAAATCTATGGCTTCTATTTTAGATCTGAGAGAGGGCTTGCATATTCAAACACCTAATTTTATGTACCATAACAATTAGTCTAATAAAATTATTATTACTACCCAAAAATCCTACACTTCCAAGACAATGTTAAAAATACCAGAATCTGAAAAAGAAAACAGAACACATCCCTATACACTGTATGAGTAAGTGGGTTTGGTTTCACCAACTCCAAAAGAAATCACAGAGCTCAGCTGGTGATACTCTAGAGAAATTCTAGAGAAATACTCTAAAGAGCACACACCACCAAGAGGATCCTTTGAAAGCAAAGTCAACTCAATTTTCTTGCACTTGCAACTCAAAAATGAACTGGAGCACAAACACTGAAATGCACTAAAAAGAAAAAGCAACAAACCAGCACAGTGAGGCTATTTAAAATGAAAATTAGAATTTCAAAAGAAATAGCACTTACACCATCATGGTGTGCATGTCAATGTGCAAACACACAAATGTTGGCAGAAGAATAGAGGTCTCAGAGATGCCGAGTTCTTATGAGCCTCCTGAAAACAGACAGACAGAGGAAATAAATCTATTGCAGCTTCTACTAAGAAGGGTCCAGAGGGAGCCCCACTGAATTACTGGATACCAAAAAGTCCACATGGGGCTTTGGTGTCTAACGAGCTGTAAACAAACGAAGTCACAAGCAAAGGCTTCATTAGTTTTGCTCCTTGTAGAACCACTGGATGTGCTTTCTAATGCGTTAATTCATTGAACTCACTGCCAAAGGATGCAAGCAAAGGACTTCATTAAATAAAAAAAAGAAAGAATTCACAGACAAAGCTTAACAGTGTGAGAAGTTATGGGATAATAAGTAAAAACTCTATTTTAGCACAGTAAGGTAATCACAAGAGTTAAAGAAATAACATTGTTTATGGACACTTTGTTCTGCAGGATCTGATGCCACCCCTCCAGAGAAAAAATTTTGCAATACACAGGCTCTAATCCCAGAATCACACTGCAAAAAGTAATTTACATATCTCAGAAGTTGTGCTAGGTGATTTGAACCAATTCCTGCACAGACAAGTCCTCTCTCACACTATACAAGTGTGACTGGCAAGATTTAAAACCTAATCACTGATCTAGCACTCATTTTCTATCCAGGATTCATAAGAACACAAATTTTAACTATTATGCAAAATGAAAGTTGTCACACATCAGGTCACAGATGTATCTTCATTCTGCCCACAATCTCTTTTTCCTTTTCTAGGCTTTGAGAACACTTGAACTTTGGGTTTTACTCTACCCAGAAGTTTGGGGGGTTTTTTTGATAGCTTCATTCTGGAGAAGCCACAACTTTTGAGATTAAATTTTCTGTTTTAATCAGTCATTGCCCAAGCTTGTGCCACTACCACAAAGTACTCAGGGAACTTCCTTCACACTGAGCACTTGGGGAGGTATTTTCTATGTGGACCATGACAAGAAGTTGCATCCCCAGATCAAACAAATAACACCCCAAGCTATCCACTCATGGAGAGGCAGGGCTTGCAAGGACAGCCTGATGGATGGTGGAGTTCTTCATTCACATTCGTATGAATAAAATTCTCTTAGGCTGAACCCAGGTGCTATGTCACTGAAAAATAAGCAAATTAAGCACAGAACTGAAGCCTGAAAGTCTCAGTTATCCATAAAGGCTCTGTATTTTGGGAGCTATCTCCTCCCCATGGAAAGTATTAGATTAATGAAGAATTTCATTGCTTAGTGCTTCTCATTTTTTGTTCTCTGATTAGCACATGATTATTTGCCTCATTGCTTCTATGTAACAGCACATTCTCGTAGATGAGACGTTTTAAATGGGACTGCCACTTTGGAAACTGATCTACCATTTTCTAAACCATTTCCTCCCAGAAAAACCACACCTGTGCATTGTGTTTGAGACAGACAAGTCATACCTAAGACTGAATTCTTCAGAAACAATTTATGATAATAAATATTGGTCCACACTCAACATGTTAATTTTACTGGTGAAGCAGGAAATTTTTTTCATTCCACTCTATTTTGCCAACACGGTAAAAAAAACAAATCCTTAAAAATCCTGAAGTGCAAAAAGTCCAAACAAGACCAAGTGCAAGTCCCAGAACAACAAGAAAAAGTGATTCTCCTATGGAACATGTATTAAATGTTCAGTATTTAAATTCCAGATCCAAGAGCATTCAGCTTCTCCCTCACTTGGAACATTTAAAACAACAAAAAGCAAACAAACAAAAGCTAAGCCAGCTTGTACATATTTTTATTTCTGGACAAACATTAAGAATTTGATGAGAAAACTGGAACACTAAGCAGGTATTGCCCTTGGCTGTACATTTCTGTTTGTCTTAACTCCTAAGGAGGTCAAACCAATGAAGAACTCAGTTTACACATCAAGAGTAAAACTCTTTGCAGAACATGTGTGAGTTGCACACCAAGGGATAACGCTCAGAACTGCCACACAGAGTCAGGAAAGTTTCACACAATGTTTGGGAAAAAGTCAAGAGCCAGTCCAATTCCTGGCAGAGTCACCATATGGAGTTTATTGCAGTACCATACATTTTGGCCACTCCACACAGCTCTGCTGCCAGCAATGATACACTGAGCTGTTTCTTTACAAGATGCATTCCTAGAAGCAAACAGTAAATTCTGGCCAGAGAGGGTCAGACAGCTCCTCTGAATCTTTGTAATAACAAAAGGAACAAAAGAAAAACACCACATTTGAACAAACACTTTACCATCCAAAATAGTGGAAAAAATTAAAGAAGAGTATAAATTCCAAGCACATGGCGTGGAATACAAAAAGATAGTCAAATCTACTTAGTCATGAATGTAACTCTTGATACATTACGAGTTATCAGTGTGGTCAAAAAACTCCACAGACATCTGTGAGAGATCCTTCAACCTCCTTAAGCCTCACACACTATTGCATGCCTAATTTATTGAAGTACAAATAGAAAATAGGAAGGCAAAGACAGGAAAGGCTCCAAAGAAATGCTGCATATTCCATATCTGGCACGGATGTCAGGTACCTCACACAGGAACAGCTGCAGTGGAAGAGCTGCTGAGCTCTGAGAAGATGCCAAGTGCCCAGAGCCCACAGCCCTGCAGGGCCAGGGATGGATCTGCCTGGGGTGGCTCACCAGGCTGCCCCCACAGCACATTGTCCCCTCCCTTGCCCCTCAGGAGCAGCTCTAAGTCCCTGGGAGCCATCTGGGAACAAGGTCTGGCTGGACAACCCTGTTTTTGGCTACAGGACTTCACAGTGAAGATGTCAAGGAACCTGAGCATACCATCTTCTGCCAAAAAGCCTGCAAATACTTTATCCATCACAGCCGTTTCCACTGTGAACCTCAGCTTAAGAGCTAATTCAATTGCTTTACATGTTTTTAAATCAACAGTTTACACATTTAGCTGTGATGACTTAATTTAGCTGAAGTAAATCTATGACTTCTTTTAACTTTAAAGTTCTTTCAAAGGAGGTGTCAGTGGTAACTGTTTACATTTCCCCTGTAAGTCCAGCTGTTTACTGCACATTTCAAAACACAGATGCCTCTGAAATGCACTCATGTAAACCAAATTCAAATTACAGCCAGTGCAGAGACTGGCACTGCCTACCTTGAGTTTTGGATCACACTCTACAGCTATGTCCTTTCATCCTGGGTTGTTTTCTTTTCTGTCAAATTATTTCCCCTCTGAGTTGAACTGAAGACTGTCAACCAAATTCTACCTTTAAGCTACAGGTTCAGCAGCTGTAAAAGATCCTAAGTGTTCAGAGAATGGGAAAAATGGTGAACATAATGCATTACTGACTTTTCCTGCATTTAAGATGAAATTTGGAAGGTTTAATTGATCCCTACATCTGTCAATCTTATCTAAACTTCTCTTGTAAAAATAATGGCTAAACCCACAAGGTTTGACTTGTGAGGAAGGAATCAACACTGGGACATTACTCTTGGGAGTACTTGCACTTTTTGTGTATGGAACACCTATGGTCTGGGGGGTCACCAAAGTAAAATTAACACAGTAAAATTAATCAAAACCAGTAGTGAACCAAATTTCTGTCTGTCAAGGCTCTGGTCTGGATTCTTTCATGCAGCAACAGGGCTTTTGCTACCTTTGGCCTCTCACATGTCTGTTGTTGGGTTTGTAGAGCACTCCTCTACAGCACCAGCAATGCAATCCAAAATACTCTAAATTCCACAAAGGGCCTCTTAAGGCCTCATGGTATTTAAGAAGACAGAAAAGAAACAAAGACCATCTGTTACTTCAAGCTCAATAACAATGAAGTTATCTACACATAAGGAAAATTACCAAAAATTGAACTGTCATCCATCCACAACTACATCCCCAAAACATCAGTTTCAGTAGTGCCATCTTCATTAGTTTTTCTTTCTTTTTTTCAGTGCACTAAATAGTATAGAAATCTTCCTGTAAAATGGTAATTTGGTATTTATTAACACTTCTTAGAAAACTGAGACAAACAATTTTTTTAAATAACCAGTCTGGACATGAAAGTCTGACTAACACATTTGTGACTAACTGCAAAAAGGAGCTGAAGTATATATCTGAACTAAATATGCAGCATGGCTGACATATTTGCATGTTGGTTCAGCTCTTTACTGACAGAAAAAAAGAGAACTAGCAAACAAAACTCCCTATTACAAGTAATTTAGCATTCCTTACCTTGGAACCTGCCAACATAGTCCCCAGCATTTTTGTTCCTTTTCCAATACCAACCACTGCAAAGAGAGAAGAAGAAATGCTACTTCAAAACAGCCCTGCAGTTCCCTTTTTCAACACCGTTCAACACCAAATATTATGCTAGTCAGAAACTCAGCCTTTCATGCTCTGTTAGCATATGAAGAGAGTCAACACTTTTGAGAAAGCATCTCTGATGTTCAAACAACATGGAACTACTGAAAGGAAAAAGCCTAAAGCAAAAGATAAATAACCTTCATCTACTGTTACAATACTTTAATTCAACTGCTACATTTATTTATCTTTTAATCACCAAAGAAATGGAGAGTGCAATTAACATTGCCTCTGGTTTGATGAAGGTTATGGCTCACCAATAATGAATGAACCCTTCATTGTAACCAAATAGTCCTTTTAAAGGTTGACAGTGGCCAAGAGTAATACAGCCAAGACAGCACAACAGAATTGTTTATCAGACATGCAGGAAGAAAGTAAAATAATCAAAAGGCCCAACTGCCTCTTACTGTGCATGTACAGATTACTGTTATTTCAATCTTAACACCAGTATTCTAAAAAACAGCAATCAGTCAGCTTTTCATAAACGAAAGAGACAGAAAAAGAGCTCTATTTTATATTTTACTTTAAAGCTCTTTACAAGATGCTTGCCTTTAAAATGCTTTCCTATTGATTTTTTTCCACCTACAGCAATCCAAAGAAAATTTTAGAAGGAAATTAGTTTTGTGTACAACTCATGGAATGTGTAACAGCTTATGGACTTTATTTTAATAAAACTAGAGGAGTGAAGGGAGCTTTCAGGAAATCAGCTTCAAGAGCCAGGACTGAAAACATCAAACTGAAAATCAACTTTGAAAAAAAATTTTTTTTTTTTACTTGTGTTCTAATGCTTCTCAATTTTTGTGCTCTGAGACTCATTAGATTCCTCCTTGTTCTCCATTACTACTCCTCTCATTCCTGAGGGTTTTCAGTCACACATGTGCTTGTGCTTTCATGTATCTTCAGTTCAACCTGTTCCTGTTATTTGCCAGATAGGAAAGAGCTGCAAGAAGGCTGAGAAAAGGAGATAAGCACACAGATAAGACTTTATAACCAAGCACTTCTCTTGCAACATGATGACATAACTGAACATAACTTCAACAGCTGAGCTGAAATCTGCTGAAGAGTGTCAAGAGAATCAATGGAATAATTTTAAAGAAACACTGAATGCTTTTGTGAACAAGATACTAACAATTTTCTCCATTAATCATCAGCTTATGGAGAATGTGTTATTGAACAGTGACATAAAACTCTCTCACTTGAGAGACTACACAATGTAGAAAGATTTAACTGAATTTTAATTTTTTTTATACTTTTTCGTGTTTTCTTCTACTGTGGAAGTATAATTTATTACTGCCATAGAAAAATAAGCCAAACAAAATTCCCATTAACACCAAGAAACAGCAAGCTGGAACCACAGCCCTGGAATAACACCAAAAGGTATTCATCAAGACCTAACCTTGCCTTTCTCTCACATGTCATAGATCACTGACCTCTACCTCCAAGGCTCTTCCTCATCTACATCTGCTGTCAGAAAGAGAAGAAATATAGAAGTATATTTTCTGATAAGGAGCACTGCTCAGTGATTGGCAGTACACCTGGCACACTAAGCAGGACTCTGAATCAGTTAATTCCAAGGAACAAAGTCACACATAGGCAGTACATAAAACCTGGGAGAAAGCAGTAAAGATCACAAAGGGTTTCAGAATATTTAATACTTCTCTCATGCTCCTATCCATGAGAAAGGAAAGGTTTCTGCTCCACCATTCCATCCTGAAAAGCAGCACACATATTCTGAGTAACTTGCTTCTCTTGTATCCTTCCCTCTCTCCTCAATTCTTACCTGAACACACAAGAAATCTGGGCACATTCCCTTTCCCACTCCTCTCCAGTTTTGTCCCTTCCAATGTAGCCACCATTGATTTTTTCCTGTATGTTTTGTATGGCAGTGGAATGAAAGATCCTGTGCCTTTTCTCAATCCATCCACAGCTAATTAAGGTGATGTGCTCCTCTATCTACACCAAGCACATCAAGCCCAAATGACTTTGTGCCATGCCACAGAAGCAGGCTTTGGAGACTGCTGGGTATCAGAGCAGTTGGAAAAGCAATTTAAAAAGCACAAGTGATTTTGTTTTTCCCAAGGATCAATGCTGTTGACTTTGCACAGTGAGGAGCAGCATGCTCAAAGGGAACAAACACCTGTGTAAAAGGAAAACCTCTGCTTCAGGAATGCACACTGAATTCTCTAAGAGTACAGGAAATTCAAACCAAACCAGGCAGTGCTCCATTCTGACCCAAGAATGTCACATTCTGCCATGTTCACAAGTCACAATTACCATCTACAGACCTCAAACAACACTTGTAACAACCAACCTCCCCTTGAAGCTGAATTCTTCCTGAGAGAAGTCATTCATGAAAACTCAGAGCATTTACTGTCAGTGTTTACTCAGAGTTGCACCTGTTTATTTTCAACAGCAAAAATGTATTGCTGTTATTTCTCCATCCAAGGAGAGCTACAAGGTTATGATCTGAGCAAGCTGCAGTCTGCATGTTACTTATCAATAAAACTGCTGGTGACAAAGTATGATGTGGGAACAATCACACCCACAGCTGAGATTTTAATACCAGCAATTGACACATATTTTCTTTAACAAAAAAAATCAATACATGGATTGCTATTGAAATTAAAAGACAAAATATCTTTGAATACTCTTTTTTATGAAGCAAGACAGGACAAATACTTAAAACTTTTTCTGTGCTGAGCTGCAAGAAAAGCAGCAGCTGAATACATCTTTTTTTTTTTTTTTTTGGTAAGTATTAGCAGCCCTAAAAGCTCCCTCAAAATCCCAGAATAGCATTACTTTGAGACAAAATAATTCAACAGATTATGATGACTATAAATCCCCAGCTTCAGTTAAAAAAGCCATTTCTCAGGTATTTTACAATTCATTACACAGGAGTTTGTATTTTCCCACATGTAATAACCGAGAAGTTATTTGAGGATTTGGAAGAGAGGAGAGAAGGCAGGAAGGAAGAATACAGCCTTCTGTTAAGAAACATGTTACATGCATGTAGAAGTGTATGCACAGGAAATTTAACCCAGACCATTCTTCCTTCCCCCAGAACCTGCCATGTGTATCCCAAATTGTTCCTCCACCCGACTTCATGCAGGCATGAAAATGTCTCCTGAAATCATATTTTGATTACTATAATTATGTTTTTCATTACCCAGAACTCCTGTGGCTGCACTGTCCAAAGTTCCTCCATGTCCAATTTTCAAAACCTTATTTCTTTTGTTCCCTTTTGTTTGCACACCAGCTTCTGCAAATAGAAATTAAAAGGAAGCATTATAAAATAACCTCAGAATGTAGGAAAAATAGCACACATTTCCAGACTGCTAAAGAAAATAAAAATCAAATATTTAATCTATTTATTAGCAGTACAGAAATTTCTGTACTGCTGAAGACCAATGATTAATTTAGATTTACTCCTGCAAAGGTATTTGCAAGGTATTTTCACTTACATGCTAATGAAGTCTCACATACCATTACAAACAGATTTTTGGAAAGTACTGGTAGCAAGCCTGTGAAGTTTCATTAACAAAGCATGGAAGAACCAGCAGCAGAGTTCCCAAAACTTCTATTTATACACAAATTTTATGCTACATAATCTGAGCCAATTCTTCACGTATTTACTGCCTTATATTGGGACATGTTTATTTGCATATTCACAGCCCTATGGCAACTTTGTAGTGGACTGAACTTATTCACTGTTGCTTTCAAGCTGTCAGTGTACCAACCCAGCAAACTTCCTATACAGCTGATGACTCCAGGACTTTTGCAGAGTCCAATGCCCCTTATTTATTGGTATTAAATATGACAAATGGTCTAAGCTCCTTTATCCATATCTATTATCTCTCCATTCAGGGAACGTGATTCTTCCACACAAAGTGTGTGCCTACATTACAATTCAGAACAGAGTAAATCAGGTAAGCACTCACTAGTCTGAAAGTATGTTCTCACTTCACCAGCAAGTGCCCAAAAGCCCAGACTAGATGACAAAGTCCCCATACCCATTATCAAAAGAATCTAGGCCACAGTCGCTCACACCTTTGCAATGATGTCACTTTGGTTTTTTTCTTAATATCTGACTGCTCAGAAAGAGCAGTTTCTGCACACTCTTTCCTTAAAGGCCTCCAAGGACATAACTGCACCACCTCCCTGCGCCACCCACCCCAATGCCTAATCGCGAATAAATTCCTCCTAAAGTGCAACCTGAACCTCCCCTGGCGCAGCGAGCCAGGACGTACCAAGAAATAACTCCATTCTCCAAGGTGGGCCATGGCTATGAACTACTACCAAAACAAACAAACAAACAAAAAACCCACAAAGAGACACTAAGCCCCACTTTCTCCGCTTTTCTGAGCGCTGAGCAGAGGGTGAAGTGGTTTGCCGGGAGTTGCAGCTCCCGCACCTCAAGGACCGCACACACCCGGCCCCATCCCACAGCCGCGCCGGGCAGGGCACGCCTGGCCCGACCTCTCCGGAGGTGGCGGCCCGGCCGCCGCCGCTCACCTGCCAGCAGCCTCTCCTTGAGCAGGTTGAGCACGGCGGCCGAGGTGGGTCCCTTGGGCTTGCGGACGGCGAAGAGCCCGCTGAGCGAGAAGAGCTTGTCGGCCGCGCGGCCCAGCGCGGAGCCGCCCGCCTCCCCCGCCATGCTGCCGGGGCCGCCGGGAGCCGCGGCCGCGCGGGCGGGACGCGAGGGAGGAGCCGTGAGGGAGAGCTTTAAGGTCGCTTAGAGAGTCGCCGGCGAGGGCGTCGGCGGATGTTTAATGTGAAAGCGAAAGTAAATTCGTTGCTAAAATCCATCAATCTAAGATCTAAACCAAAATCCAGCCCCAAAATTATGTGGAGGCGGCTCCATCAGACACAGCGATTTGCAGGCATCGCTGGGGGAGTTCGCTCAGTGTTTCCGTACCTTCCATGCCCAAATGGAAAGAATTGTATTTTGACAGGACAAGAGGACACAGTTTCAAGCTGCGCCAGGGGAGGTTTAGTTTGGTTATTAGGAAGAATTTCTTGGTAGAAAGGGTGATTAGACACTGGAACGGACAGCCCGGGGAGGTGGTGGAGTCGCCGTCCCTGAGGTGCTCAGAGAAAGGCTGGATGTGGCACTCGGTGCCACGGTCTGGTTGACACAGTGATGTTCTGTCGTAGGTTGGACTCCATGATCTCAGAGGCCTTTTCCAACCTAATTGATTCTGTGATATTCTGCTGACTGGTTGCTGTGTCCATTAATCTTCCTGCCTCTGTAGGTGTTTTAATACAGAGTGTTGGGAAGGCTTCTGTCGGATCTCTCGCCTCCATTCATAAGTACAGCGTGTGGGTTTTCCTCTCCAGGTCTGATTTGTACAGACTCGTTTCTCTGACAACACTCCCAAGACATTTAAACAAGTCATGCTTGAGCAAAGCGCCTAGAGCTTGGATGCTTCATTCATGGATTTAATTTATTCATTTGCAAGAGCCTGCAGATGAAACCATGAAGAAGCACCTAAAAAAATACATGTCTAACTAAGGGCCATGTTCCCAGACCTTTCCAGAGCTTGAGAGAAGCAAATCTTCCTGCTGAAGTCAATGGCTGTCTCTGTGCAGAGCAGGATCCAGGTCCCTGTGTGGGTTTTCAGCCAGTGCTGGAGTCAGTGGTTCATTCCATGCCTTCCCCGGAGCTTCCAGCTGCAGCTGCCACCACTGTGTCCATGGGATGGGGAATGGCTTCCTGCCACCAGCAATGCCAACCAGCCTCCCCTGCACTTCTCTCGTGCATATTATTATCCAGGCACCTTATTTGCTTGGATCTCATCTGCAGAGCTGTAATGTGGCTGTGGAAATGTTCACTGTTACCATAAGCTGCGAGGGTGGATTCCCTGGTGAGTGGTGCAGGTCTTTGCAGGACATGGAAGTGAGGTATGAGAGTCCTTCTTGGGAAGATAAAATAGCAAAGCCACACTGGGGGAAGAATTCAACTGGAAAATCACTACTGATTTACATGGAGTTAAAATCTAAGCACTGTGTGGAAGGCATATTGTAAATGGTGATGGAGCTTTTGTTGCAGACATGGTTTAATCACATTGTTTGAAAACCAGTTCTCGCCAATTCCCTGCTAAAAAGATCTTGAGCACAGATTGCTCTGTAAGTGGGCTCCAGCAAAACTATTTAAACATGACCATTAAGAGATGGTGTTAGTGAGCTTCCAGGCACAGAGATTGCAGCACAAGGACTGAAATACAAACCTGCCACACTGCCATGGCCAGCAATATCGTTGGGCAAGCAGACTGCTCTGAACACATCACAGAGGATCAAAGGGAGATTATATAGAAATGAGAGCTCCACTCTTGGCATAAAATTGTCCTTAATTCATCTCAACTTTCCAAAAATGCAGTAGCTGATAGGCCCTATCCTATGAAAAAATTCCCTGTGCTGCCTCCTCAGGATTGACCTAACCTGAGAAGAGTCTAAAATGAGGCCATTAACCTGACACAGGGACAGGCTATGAGCTGAGGGCAGTGTCTGATCAGCAGTACTTTCTTTTGTTTTTGTTTGGGGTTTTTTTGTTTGTTTGTTTGTTTGTTTTTAAGGGAAATATTTCAGGTAAATAAAGAAACTACCCGCATTCTTGTTTTCAGTGTTGAGAAGGAAGTTCTTGTAGGTCTCCCAAACTTCTGCATCCACAATTAAAACACAACACTTTGTAATTGCAGCAGATGGAGTCTTTGAAGACTTAGAAAGAAGAGGTTTGGTTTAACTTCAGTGGGCATTGGATAAGGGCCCAAAATAAAAATTGTGAAAAACAATTAATGACTGCCAGTATTTTAGTTTACGGGAAGTGTATGTGTACGTAAATCTCACATGGCTCTTTGTGGGGCAAGGCTATTCAGCATCCAAAATGGTGGGAATGATGTACCAAACTGTTCATCTCAAGGGCTTTATTTCAGATTTTCCTTGTGTTGCTTGTGATTAAAAGTCATTACCATCTGCTCAGTAGCTTATTTGAAATGAGATGTTTATCTCCAACGATTCCTAGCCAAGCCAGGATTCACAATGACCAAAAGCATGATTAGAGTTATTGACTTTATTTGCAACCCTAATAAAGTGGCTCAGTAAATGGCTGAAAGGATGATGTTGTTTTGTGCATGGAACATGACAGGTCTGGTAGAGGCAGCCCAAATCCTCCACTCAGGTCACTGGAACTGCACAAAGCAATGCCTTGAGGACCTGGTGCAATTGTACAGAGATAATGAATGGGCAGTAGCTGCTGCACATGCAAACAGCAGATGAGTGCTATTGCAGGAGAGCAGAAATCCCTGACTTGCTTGTGCAGAACAGATGCAACACTTCCTTTTACCTCCTCCAGCAAGATGTTCCCTGCTTTGTGTGCTTTCAGACTGGCTTTGGATGAGGTAATGCTCAGAGACCACAACGCAGAAGAAACTGGTGCTGCATTACAGCTTTGGAAGCAGACTCAGCAGCAAGAGCCCATTCCTGTGTTTGTGCTCATTTCAGAATTCCAGCTCCATCATCTGTACCCAAACAACTGCAAGGAGGTCAATCACAGCTCAAGGTCTCCTGTAAAACAAAGAGTTGCAGCTGTTTGAAAGTTCAGGTCACAGTCACGTAAACAGCTCCCTTGTCAGACAGAGGGATTCTGTCTGGAATAAGGACTACCAAAGCCTGAAATATTTAATTTTTTTCCCTTTAACTGTTCCATGTGTTTGGGTAATAAGTTGTAGATAAATAACAGCAATTTGTTTGTTCATTAAGTCCCATTCAGACGGGCATGAAGCACATCCTTCATTCATAATTTCTGAGCAGCTCTTCTGAGCAAAGGCAGCTTCTTCAGGATCTTGTTGAACTGCAGCAGGTTTGAAAAAAGAATGTCAGGTACAGAATGTGAGGGAAAGATAGAACTACCCACAGCATACACCAGTCCTAGGTTTGGCAATTAATCATTCTCCCCAGAAAACAGTTTCCTAAACTGCAAGTATTTAATGAGCAGATTTTTGCATTTTGTCCAGAAGATCAGCAGTCAATGTTTACACCAATCTGGATTTTAAGTCTAGACTTATTATTTATAGAAATATTTTCTTTAGATTTTTATGCTGGATTCTCTGTTATTAGTGGGATTCTTTTTCATTGAGAATAGTTTAGACAAGAGGAGGTTTTGGTGAGCTGGTTCAATGCAGACTTATAGTGCCAATTTGAATTGGACTGGACAGACTACAGTAGGATCCAAAGGTTTTTAGCTATTTCTTCTTTATGTGAAATGCAGTTTTGGCAGTCAACTAAACAAGAAAACAGCAATTTTTCCTGACCACTGGTACATGTAGTGATACAGAAAAATATGACAGAGTTTTCAATTGCTCCTTGTGGACCCTTTATAAACACATTGCATTAGTGAGGATAGATCTGGAAAGTTACTTCTAATCTCTGATGTGTGCCCAGGTCTGTCTGTAATGACAGAGGACTGTGCATGCTCTGGAATCAGAAGATTCAGTGATGCTGAAGGGAAAAAAAAGAAAATACATTTTGCAGATCTTTGATTTTTCTGCTAATAAAAGTCTCAGTGGGATTCTCAATTCTTGTTTAAATTCACACCATTTCTTGCTACAGATTCTGTCAAAGAAGTAATTTTCCATCAACCTGCATCATAATTAGGAATGATGAAGAACTCACCAGATGTGCATGTGGAAGAAGGCAGCATATGAGAGATTGTTTATATAGACAATTTAAGTCCAACCTGCCCCTCTGTAAATTCAGAACATAAGGTTAAAAGGATCTAAACACTTTTACAGCTGAGAAGCTGTAATGCCACAGCTAGAAAATAAATTCAGCAATGAGTTGATCTGGAGTGTGTTTTCTTAAAAAATACTCAATCTTGATTTGGAGATTCTGGGAGACAGGGAAAAAATTAGATCTGTATCTTCACTAGCAGTTCAAATTTATACTAATTTTCTCAACTGGCTTTGTACAATTTCAGCATTCAGATAAATGTGTTAATTATCAGCCCTTTGGCAACTCTCATCTTGTGAGCACACATACAGACTCTGATTAATGGTTTATGATTAATGTGCAGAAAAGAGCACACCTGAGCTCCTCAAGTGACCTCTTTTCCTCTCCTGTTCACTCAAGGGAAGGAGGAGATTGTACCTCGAGGAACAAAAAAAATAAACCCCAAAAAACTAACCACCTTATACATCTGCCATTAAACTCATGTTAAAGTTAAATAAATGTTGTGTAATTTTCTTGGCACAAGAAAGCTGAAGTCTATGGAGGGCCCACCTGTGGAGAGGGAAAAGCTTTTCTCCCAGAACACTCCTGCATGTCCAGGTTCACTGGGATAATGTCCCTGCAGTGGTGGCAGAGCCATCTCCTCTGCAGAAACAGGGGCAGCTCAGGTCCCAGTGCCGCTGCTGGAAGCCTGAGAAGTGGCTGGGGAAATAAGAATGGCACTGCTAGGAGTTTCCTTCTCCCCTGACATAACTCCCAGCTTTCTGTGGTCAGCAGCTGGAGGTATTTTTAGCCAAAGCTGGAACATGGGCCATTATATTTGCCCTTTATCCACAGGTCTTCTAGCTGTTGTCTGCTCTGCCTAATTGCTCTGAAGCCATTAGTCCGTTCACTTTTCCTCTGTGCAGTGACTTTCCCAAGCCAGTCAGCTGGAGGTTCTGTGAAGGAGTGTTATTTATTTTGGCCTTTATTTCGAGTTACCTTGACTTGCACTAAGTACTTCCCAGTTCTAGTACAATGAAAAATGAAAAATTCACACATTCACTTCCTCCATCTCT